GTTTTTGTACGAACCAATAAAATATATATATTTTTTTTTAAACGGAATGATGGGAATGGTAGTCCCAGAAACCAGGAGGGCACCAGGCTGGGGAAGGCTCCATACAAGTAACCTCTCTACTAGTAAAGTCTCTTCCACCTGTACAGAAATCTGTGCACCATGGAAGGTTAAGACAGTGTGGCATAATGGTTAGAGTGCTGGACTGTGACCTGGGAGACCAGGGTTCAAATCCCCACTCAACCTTGGGACAGTCGCCATCTCTTAGCCTTAACAGGGTCGTTGTGAGGATAAAATGGGGAAGAGAAGAACCATATACAGTAGTACCTCGGGTTACATATGCTACAGGTTACAGACGCTTCAGGTTACAGACTCCGCTAACCCAGAAACAGTGCTTCAGGTTAAGAACTTTGCTTCAGGATGAGAACAGAAATCGTGCTCCGACGGTGCGGCAGCAGCAGGAGACCCCATTAGCTAAAGTGGTTAAGAACAGTTTCAGGTTAAGAACAGTTTCAGGTTAAGTACGGACCTCAGGAATGAATTAAGTACTTAATCCGAGATACCACTGTATACCACCTTCAGATCCCTGGAAGATAAATGTGGTATATAAATGTAATAAAAAAATAAGAACCAGATCGGCCCCAAGTTGTGGACTGCTAGCATTGACAGAATACTATGAGAGGGAATTTCTACTTCGGGGTGCATCCTGCCAAGCAGTGCAGTGGTGAATTTTACCACCATTAGCACTCTCTCCCTCTGGGCTTGCGTGAGAGAATGAAGGAGGAGGATTGCCATATTTCAAAAAGTAAAATCCAGGGCACCACAAAAACTGCTGACCTTTCTTTAGGAAGACCCCAAAGTTGTTGAACTCTTTTTTTTTACATAAAAGGTGTAACCGCCCCCCCCAAAAAACCCTCACAATTTTTCAACTGACTTGCCTAAGATCCAGGACAAAGCACCATATTTCAGAAATCCCCCCTGGACATCAGTTCTGCCTTTGAAATCCTGGTAATGTTTGGGGAAATCTGGATGTATGACAGTCTTAAGTGGCCGTACCTTGTCTTGCTGCTGTCATAGGATGCCCCCCTCTCTAAAACAAAAAAGGGCCATGAGCACAATGATAATAATTTATTATTTATACCCCGCCCATCTGGCTGGCTTTCCCCAATATCAGTGATGGCTGTGAGGAGGAAAAGCATCAGCAACAGCCTTTGCTACAGTAGACTATAGGGTGGCTACTTCTGCATTGGCCCAAAAGCCATAAAAACAAGGACGCAGATTTGAATATGCGAACTTATACACTAATTTAGAAAATGATGAGTACAGTCAATCTCATTGTAATTGGGAGCACTGTCTGCATAAGGCAAATGAGGTGCAAACAGTTTTGTTTTGGGTGCATCCTCCTGGAACCTGAACAACATCAGACCATCCCTATTCCGATTTTCACTTGCACAAAATTAAAACACAGCAAGTAAATTCCACAATGATTCCCACCTGCTTGCAGAATGAGCAATGGGACTTCCAGTTTTCCCTCTCCCTCCAGTCTACTCCAGAGGGCCCTACAATCTTCTGAAGCAGATTTGGAGACTCGTGGGAGGCTGCGAGGGGGGGAGGAGGAAGAGAAACTCCATATCACCCCACTTTCTCATTTCCAAGGTCAAGGAGGTACCAGATACAGATTTAAAGAAAATGAGGAGAACACCCCAGACATTCAAATAGTAATTTCTGTAACATGCTATTCAGGTATCTTGTTTCGAAAGGAAGAAGAACTCGCCTTTTAAAAGCCAAACCTTATAATAATTGCTATAATAGCGGACAGTTTTTTCTGGCATGCAAACCCCTTTGAGAGAAAAGAGTCACATGCTGGGGTTCTGCTTGCGCTGGAACTGCTGAAGGCACAGGAGCCTTGCTGGGGAAATACTTGGCAACCCTAGTAATAACATGAAAATTGCTCTCCGATCCGAAGGAACTGAGGCAGCCCCCTAGATGAGCTCCCTTGTATTTTGACAAGTGTGTTATGGTTCAATTTCTCACTTTTCAGTGTTAATCACAAAATCTGAACCAGTTTTCCATAAATCTCTGTAGAAAAATACATTTCAAGTGTGCGCTGAAGTGTTTTGAAACTACTGAAGCACTCAAGTCACCGTCTGTCACTCTGAGTGGCACACAGCAATTTAAAATTACTGAAGCTCTTAAATTAAGTGCTTAAATGTAAAGGTGATCACTACTCTGGGGGTATGAATTGTAGAGCTATCCGAACCATCAGAGCACTTCAATTTTCTCTAAGCAGGTCATTTTGGGGAGTGATAAGGAAACCTTTGATTGCCCAGAATACTCTGATTTAAAGATAGCATTTAAAGTTCTCAATTCATCTTTACAAGCACTTTTGTTTGGGTGCCGCATAACTCCCAATCAAACTGACCTAAAGTGCTTGAACTCTAATTTGCCTCTCCCTTTTAATGAACTATTTCCTCCTAATATTTTTTTTCCCCTTGCAAACGAAAGCCTGTATTTTAAAGGGATTCTGCCAAGTTCGCCTGCAGACCATAACCAGAAGACATGCTGGCTCAGGAAGGTACCACGTCAGCTGATGGCCCATCCACATGATGGCTTCCTTCATGATGGAAGCAGCAGCATCCCAGTGCCCCACCCCCACCCCACTGTTCAGGTAACATAGGAACTGGACCTCAGGCAAAGGAGCTTTTCCATCCTCCTGTTCTTTTCCCTCCGACAGGAACATTCAGGCCCAGTGCTAGCAGTCAGCCAGGTTGGACACTGGCCAAGGGCCCTAGGTTTCTGGACTGAGTCCTCGCCAGTCCAACCCACCCGCACTGCCCTCCCTGGCATCTTTTCAACAGTGGGCAGAGTAAACATGTGGTGGCCACTGAAAGCAGAGCTGGATCTTGCCCTGAACCTGTGTATTGGGAGGTGTGGTAGACCAATGTCGGCATTGTGCCAAGGGCACCTTAGGAACACTAAACCTGAAAGAAGAATCTGAAAGCAGAAAGTCTTAAGAAGAAGAAGAAGAGTTTGGATTTGATAACCCACTTTATCACTACTCTAAGGAGTCTCAACACGGGAAGCGCTGTGGGTTAAACCACAGAGCCTAGGGCTTGCCGATCAGAAGGTCAGCAGTTCGAATCCCTGCGACGGGGTGAGATCCCATTGCTCAGTCCCTGCTCCTGCCAACCTAGCAGTTCAAAAGCACATCAAAGTGCAAGTAGATAAATAAGTACCGCTCCGGCGGGAAGGTAAACGGCGTTTCCGTGCGCTGCTTTGGTTTGCCAGAAGCGGCTTAGTCATGCTGGCCACATGACCCGGAAGCTGTACACCGGCTCCCTCGGCCAATAAAGCAAGATGAGCGCCGCAACCCCAGAGTCGGCCACGACTGGACCTAATGGTCAGGGGTCCCTTTACCTTTACTTTTAAGGAGTCTCAAAGCGGCTAACAATCTCCTTTCCCTTCCTCCCCCACAACAAACACTCTGTGAGGTGAGTGAGGCTGAGAGACTTCAAAGAAGTGTGACTAGCCCAAGGTCACCCAGCAGCTGCTTGTGGAGGAACGGGGAAGCAAACCCGGTTCACCAGATTACAAGTCTATCGCTCTTAACCACTATACCACACTGGCACTTTCCATTAACCCTTCTTTTGTTACCCTCTCAGTGCCATCAAAACGGATGAAGCGTTTCATTCGGTCTGCATAAAGATGCACAGGCAGGTCAGACCTTTTGGCCCCCAATGCAGTCCCAATCCAGTTTAGACTTCCCATGGATCCTTCTTTTTAAATGCAAATTGCAGGTAAGGAGACTATAGCAGGGGCATGCATGTGTATGTGTGTGTGTTTGTCTCCACAGAAATCTATAGCTAGCTAGCTAGCTAGATAGATAGATAGATAGATAGATAGATACACAACAACCAAAGGTAGGCTCTGGAGGACTGAGCAGAAAAGCTGCAGACGGGAGTGAGGGGCAGATGGGGCTCATCAACATGGGAAGGTAGCCCATCTAGGAGAAGGAAAACCTCTGTGTCACGGTCCGGTCTGCGGGCGGTCGAAGTCCCTGCTGAGGACCTCAGGACTGGGGGCAAGATGGCAGGGTGGGAACAGGAACTAGAGTCCAGAAGCCAGGGGTCCGAGGGTCAGGAAGCAGGGAGTCACAAAGTCAAGGTTCCAAGGGTCGAAAAGCAAGGAGTCAAGAAGCCGAGGTCTGAGGATCAGGAAGCAAGAAGCCAAACGAAGCAAGGTGGGAAACGAGTTGCTGTATCAAAGAGCTGAAGGGAAATGCTGACCTTCTATCCCTTCCCGGCTCTTGCCACCAGGTGCTGTGAGTTACCAAGCGGCCTCCCCTGTGCAGCCGTGCCTTGCCTCTCCAGAACAAACTTAGGAAGGCCCCAGTCCTGCGAAGCCCTACTGGTCACAGGGCCTGGCTCCTGCATGCACTCCTGACACTCTGCTGCCTTGCAGGACATCTTCAGGAGAAGAAAAGGCAAAACAGTAAACCCTATGCAAATCTGGAGTGGAGTCCCTAGGACAGTTGGATGGTGCCTTGTACCCCTCCTTCCAGCAACTCCTGCTTGTGCCAAACGTATTATTCTGCTTTCCTTTGGACCAAACCAGTGAGGCCAAGGGGAGTCTTGTTTTCTGGGCTGCCCAAGACACTGCCCAGGCTTGCGCGCAAGGAATGTCACTTCAGTGCTGCTAACACAGCAGTTTGACTTCACCCCCACACTCCATTGTCTCTCAAGACAGATGGATGCCAACCATAATATAAAACCACACACATTGCAGGGCTCCCGTCTGGATTGGTCTCTCAGTCCCTGCTATTTACCGTATTTTTTGCACCATAACACTCACTTTTTTCCTCCTAGAAAGTAAGGGGAAATGTCTGTGCGTGTTATGGAGCGAATGCCTACGGGTGGCGGGGGGATCTGCTGCAGTTGTGAGCAGAGGATCCATGGTTCCCCTTCCTTCCCTCCTCCATGGCTCGCTTTGAAACAGCAAAGCGGGAGAAGAGCCGCTGAGTGGGGAGGAGAGAGGGACAGAGAGCCTGCTTCTTTAAAGGACCAAAGCGGGAGAGGAGGGGAACTCCTGTCTGGTTGGCTCCTTTAAAGCAAGCAGACTCTCTGTCCCTCTCTCCTCCCCACTCAGCTCACTAAATAGCATTTTTAGCAGCATCCTTCTCCTCCCACCCCATGCGTGCTCCTTGTCCCTTGAGTGCTTTTCCTTCCCTCCCCACTTAAAACGTGGTTACAAAACACGGATCCACATGGATCCTCAGGATTTTTGCACTGGGTCACCCCAAATTCACCATCAGATCACATAGCATGTCCATGGCTACATCTTGCACCAAAAAAACATGCACCCACTGTTGCCTGCGGTCGCAGTGGTGCAAAAACGTGGTTACAAAGCATGGATCCACATGGGTCCTCAGGATTTTTGCATTGGGCTACTCCAAACTCACTGTCAGATCACATGTCTGTGGCCACAGCATGAACCACAAAAATCATACATCCACTGTTTCGTTTAGAATATTTTTTTTCTTGTTTTCCTCCTCTAAAAACTACGTGCGTGTTATGGTCAGGTGCGTGTTATAGAGCGAAAAACATGGTACATGGAGGGAGGGCACTTCTCACTGGAGTGAATGGGGCTTCAGCCCCAGTGCAAACTGGAGTGAGGTCATGTTTATGCACACAACTGAGAGAGAGGCCACATCAAATTTTGACTCTGGCCAAGGAGACCATTGGCATGCAGACCCAAACACATTACGCCCTTGAGGAGGGAGAAAGTTTCCCACCCTCAGTTCAGACAATACTCAGTAGATGGAATAATGATCAGATTCAGTGCACAGCAGCCAGGTTCCCATGCTGAAGTTCAAGTTTCCAGCTGGAGTGAAAACACAGCACAGTGCAATGCTTTTTTGTCACGTCAGAGAATCTGTAAAGTGTGTTGGGGAAATTCTGGCAGGAGATCCCATCCAGAGAGTATCGTCCAGTCCAGCCTTGGCTGCAGGCCCAGAGTGGCCCCAGAGACAAGGTTAAATATTCAGCCATACCTTAAGACCTAAGTGCAAAGCCCAGAGTCTTCCTGAATTCTCAATGCCGGTAATTCCCTGGGCATTGTTGCATTTGCAGTTTTCTCCTGCTCTTTCAAGGTTACTGCAGCTCAATCATTTGGCTGCTCTGTATCAAGTTCTATTGCTTTCAAGCATATTATTTTTACACCCTGATTTCCACTGCTCCTGTATCACATACTGGCTACAGTCCCCCTTCACACACACAACAGGCACACTTGGTTTTTGTTACATCACGACACAATAACCTGTTAAATGCAATATTATATTTAATATGTTTGTTGATTTTAAACTTGAGCGGGGCATGATCAGGACCATCAGGGTATTATATGAGGGATAACCAGCCAACATGCTGAAGTCTAATGAATGTTTAAAGGGGTTAATACCATAGAGTAAGCTGTTCTGCCAGGCTTAGAGAGGTCACTTTGGCTTACCTTGGGTGGAAAGTGTAATCAAGCATATTGTTGTATTCAGTACCTGAGAAGCTCAGCACGTGAAGAGGCTAAGCTGGAGCACATGGCTCTCACAAGCCATGCTTCCTATACCAATATTTTAGGAACATCTACCACTGTAACATTTTGCTGTCTGTACAACTTTAGCTGAATGCTGTAAGGAAAAGCACATGAACCAGACCTTTGAAGAGTTTGTAAGTAAACCAAATTTTAACTTAACAAATGTTTGATTTTCTATGCTGGGGAAAGAGGGAAGTTCTGGAACTCACAAGGGCATATTTTAAAAGTCTAACAGCCTATATTTATGTGCTCTATTTTGCTGCATATTTTGTGATTTTAAATCTCTGCTGGGGTTCTCTCACCAAAGAGTACGTGCCCAAAACATGGATATGGCATCCAGAAATTCTTCCCTTTTACACCTATATCTTATTTTATTTTTTCCTTTAACCAACATTATATCCTTTCCCCGTGACACTGTTCCAACAACAACAACAAACAGCCAATCATACTATTGATTATCACTGGGGGGGATTTTTTGTTGTTGAGCTCATGCCATTGAGAGAAAGGGTTGACCACTCTACCTGAATGCCTACCACTACCTCACAGCTGCAGTTTAAATACCAACTACTAAAACAACAACAAACAGATGTGTTAACTGTATGCATATCTTTTGCCACAGTTCAAAGGGGTGGTAGAACTGAAACACGACACATCACATCACTTTTTCAGTGTCCTGTTGAGCTCACCCAAGCAGGGCAGAAGTGAGGGTGGGGTGTCATTCCTGTGCTTCTTCATCCTTTTTCAAGGTTTTGCTGGCTCATGATGCCCTCCTCCTGGAAGGGACATTCACTATGCCCACTCGAGGGACAACATACTTGCATCCCTGAATAGGAGAGAACATTAGGGGACTGAGGCGGCTATGGATCTCCCGTCTCAGCCTTTAGTGGCATCAAAGAACTTAAGAGCGTAGCACAAGTCCTTCTGGACCAGACCAAAGGCCCATCTAGTCCAGCACCCAATTCTCACAGTGACCAACCAGATATGTTAAGTGAAGTCCCCAAGCTGGACATAAGCAAAATTGCACTCTCTCCTTCATGTCCCCCAACAAATGACATTCAGAGGCTTACCACATCCAATACGGGAGGTATTACACAGTCATCATGGTTAACAGTCTTTCCTTCCATAAGTTTGTCTAAAGCACTTTTAAAGCCATCCAAGTTGATGTCCATTACTACATCTTTGGGTAGTGAATGCCATTGTTTAGCCATGTTCCTCCAGGACTTTGGCCAAGGCACAATCTGACCCCCTCTCTCCTTCTGTAATAATAATAATAATAATAATAATAATAATAATAATAATAATGTAATTCTCATAGAATTCTACCCAATGGCTGCCGTTAATTTGATTCCAAATTGATTTTAGAATGTATTTTAATTAATTGACTGTGTGATTTTATGTACACTGTGCTATTTTTACTTGTTGTTAGCCACTCTGAGCCCAGCTTTGGCCAGGGAGGGCGGGATACAAATAAAAAATTATTATTATTATTATTATTATTATTAGCTATCCTTTTGAGTGTCCTGAATCTTTCAATATTCAGCCCCATTGGGTGACTTCTAGTATTATGTGGGGGAGGGGAAAACCCTCTCCTATCCACTTTCTTCATACCATGCATAATTGTATACACTGCTCTCATGCCCCTGCTTACTCACCGTTTTCCCCCGAAACTAAAAAGTTGCAAAGCTTGTAACCCTTTTTTTTTCTTCCATAGGGGAGCTTTTCCAGCCCAGGACCATTTTGGCTGTCCTTGTCTGAACCTCTTCCATCAGTCTGTGATATTGTTTTCGAGGTGAGATGACCAGAAACACACGCAGTATTCCAGATGTGAAAACACGATAGATTCGCATAACGGCATTACAATATTTGGAGTTTTATTTTCAATCCTTTCCCTAATGATCCCTTATACGGAGTTCACCTTTTTCACAGCTTCAGCACACTGGATCAACATTTTAATGGAACTATCCACCAGAACCCTAAGATCTCTTTCCTGATCAATTAATACAAGTTAACATTATAAGTGTGTGTGTATTGCACCAATGTGGTAAAAAAGCACCATAAAATGCATAACAATGAAATAAAACATAAGTTCTGAAACTAATTTGAACCACCACAGAATAAAAGAGAAAGCCAACAGTAGAGGACAACAGCAGTGAAAGCATCTAAAAAGCACCAGCATGTGGTTTTTTTGCTGAAGAACTCCTTGGAGAATAAGACTTTACCATTTCTTTGTTTAGATAATTTATATACTGTACTGCTTAGCATTTTTCCCAATAAAAAAATCTCTTAGTGGTTTACAAGTATCACAAATTGTTACCAAAACAAGTCAGAAAACAATGAAGACATTACAAAATGTATTCTTAAAAACAACACAGTCAGCAGCTGAACAAGATAACCTTTCTAGAAATTAGAAAATTCCTGAGTAAAAAAAAAGAAAAGAAGGTTTTTTAAACAGACATTTAAAATATCCAACCGAAAGGAGATTCTAGAATCTCTTTCAGAAGGGTGTTTACAGTTGAAAAGGCCTACTTGCTTAAGGTTTTCAGATGTCAGGGTCTCCTCTGAGGAATGCAAAGATAAATGTGTCCTATTGCATGGGAGGCAGTGTGCTATGTACCCTGGTTCTGCTAGGTATCCTTCAATTGGGGTGCCACTACTGAGAAGGCTCACCGTAATGGCCATCTGCCTCACCTGAATTGGTGGACGCACCCAAAGAAGGGCCTCAGAAGATGATAACAACAACAACAACTAATTCAATTCCTTGCTCAGCCATAAAGTTCACTCACTGGGTGACCTTGGACCATTCACCGTTTCTTAGCTAACAGGGTTGCCATGAGGATCACGTGAGATAGCCCACAACTATGCATGTTGCCACCTAAGCTCACTCAAAGAAGGGCGTTACACAGTTTGATACCACAGTGTGATTATTAACGACGATGATGAACCTTATCGTGTTACATGTGTATCATTCAGTTAGCACAATGCCATATATCCTTCCGTCTGGTGTGCAAATCAGAACTTCAGAAGGCACGCTAGCAATGTTGTCAGGTGGAATAAAAGCACAGATAAAATACTGGCTTAAGAGATAAAGATGGCTGACAAGTGTTAGATATAAATCTAGTTCACTCCGGAAGCTAGGTACTATATTAAGAGATGCAGCTGGATGGTATTTAAGAGGGGAACATCTCAACACACAGAACCATCTTATATTTACTATGCTCTTACAGCTTTTTCCAAGTACTATCATCAATTTTCCCGTTCCCGTCAAACCAAAGTCTTATTCCACAGAGCTTACATCATTTGTATCTCATCCAAATGGCAGCAGTCTTGTGAGTCAAGAGTTGTCTGTGATCTGGCCATGTGCAGTTTCACTGAGTTTGGCCATCCAGCCTCTCATTGCATCGCCTTCGTTTTATGTACACGTCTTGTTAGATGTCAACGTAGGCTATCCCCCATTTTGCACACATTCATGTTGAAAACCACAGGGTTATATATCATGCCTTTGATTTGCAGGTTACCTGTTTAAAAGAAACAGGCAAGAGGTCTGATTAACTTCATATTTTTAGACCGTCCAGATCC